CTTAGGGAGATCTTCATGAAGGCATTCCTTCTATATTACAGAGAGTCCTTGTGTGTTTTGCCATCTTCAAATAAACTAATCTGTCTCCAAAAAACATACAGATTTTGCCTTCTGTTCAGCACACAACTTGTCGTTATCTGCCATTTTGCATACTGTTGTTTTCTGGCAAATCAGAGTCTGATGCTGATTTCTTCTGACATCCATCGAATTTTCCATGAGCAAAGGCACCTGAATATACACTATGAACATTCAATATATAAAACATTTTATGGAGTGACCGAATGGTATGACAATTCACATGCCACCCTGTATATTTTATAATTCAAGATTAAAGGTATTTTGATCAAGACCCCCCTAAAAAAATCTTACCACATAAATCAATAAACCAGAATATTACTTATATATTTTTAATGGCCATGAATTTATACTCTGAATTCAATCAAAAATAATAAACAATACCTACTCATTAGCATGTTAGAATTAGAAGATACACATGTAATGTTATATGAAACCTAGTCAACAAAATAATATTCATGCTTTCCAGTTACATAAAAAACTTAAACTTATGAGTTTCAGTCTAATTATAATACATTTATAGCATAAAATTAAATACAAAGTGGTTATTGGTCACTGCACAGTTTTAAATACAACATAACAGGGGGCAACAGTGAGCTTTCCTGCATTTATTAATAGAAAAGTAATCCAAAATTCAGCAAAAAGCATATCTGTTGAGACAATCTTTTTATTCAAAAGTAACATGATTAGTAACCAGAAACATGAACCATAAGAATTAGAAATGAACGGAATGCTATTCATCATTTTAAATGCAAAAGTTCAAACATAACGAAAAAAAATTAACAAGCCAAAAACAAATTTTCAGTCAATTCGATTTAAATGTATAACCATTAATAGTTACATATTGTGTATGTTTTATGCTGAGAAGTAAAGAAGTCAAGCAAGAAATTTGCAAAAAACTTCTAAAATACAAATGTCCCTTACTTTACCTTTGAAATTTTACTTCATTCTTACTTTACAATGACTCACCAATTAATACAGAAATTTTCCTTTATTCACAGAAAAAATGCTGAAAATATGTATTTTCACTTAAAATATTAATTGCTATAACACCACACTGTACATTAGATATGAAACAATACTTTAATATAACTTTTGCAGCTGACAGTTTAGACTAGAATGATATTCCTTTGCTTGCAACCATTCACAAATACAACAGATAAATCAGGCCGATTTAATACAGGAAATGAAATAATCACTATATCTGGTACTGCAAAGTAAAACGAAGATTTTCAAAATCAGTATCACATCTAGTTTTTGTTCTAAAAGCCTCAGAAAATTGGGAATACTCAATAATGGATAGAGAAAATATAATGAACTTGTGTCTACTGCCTTTTCACAAAGAATCAAACAGGCACAAAGAAAAATTTAGCATTATTAACTTATTAAAAAGTAACTATACAGGAAATCTACAAGTACATGTGTAAGTCTTTTTGAAAAACTCAGAAGTATGCTTTAGTGAGCATCCTTTCCCTACATCAAGAAAAAATTTACTTTTGCAGGTCTAAAAATTACTGCAACTGACTACTTTTCTAACTCAGAAACATAGTTTCTCAAATGAATTATCCAGGAAGCTTAAGCTTTGCATCCTCAAATGAATATTAATTTTAGAAAAATTCACAGAAAATAATCAGCACAAAGAAAAGAAATTTTAATAACTTGCATTATTATTTTAACTTCAATAATGAAGAAATTAAAAGTGCATGTTTGATTTTAGCCATGAATTTAGAAATTCTCATCCCTTTATTCTCATAATTGAAAAAAACTACAACTTCCTTCCACTAAAAACATACAACCTAATCCATTTATAATGTATTTAACTGTAATGAATATACAATCCAATCAATTAACATTTCAGTGTGATGAATAAAGCATTTAAACTCTACGATCATACACAAATAAATATATACAATTCTTCAAAAAATTCTTGAAAATTTATGAGAAATAAGTATATAACACGTTACGAAAATAAGCACTGTCTTAAATCAGTGGTGCGCAACCCTTGATTCACCACCTTTTTGGGGGGGTCGCAAGCTCTTCTTTAGTTGGCTGTCTATTACTTTAATTAAAAGTACTTTGGTTTCAATATATCTAAAAAATTTTACAAGATATATATAAAGAAATAATCAATAATAATAATTCAAAGAGCTAAAGACTGTCCTGAAAAACTTATGGGGCACATGCAATACAACCAACTGCCAGGACAGTAGGGTTACAACCATAAACCACCATCTGACTGGAAAACAATTTCCCACAGCCTTTCATTGAATGCATCTTTTCAAGAAATCTTAGTTCCAGGAATTTTATGTATTTAGCTCTTGTAATCCTTCCTTCCAACTAGCTGCCCTATGTGAAACACAGGAAAATTTCCTTACTGCATAGTTTATAAATTAGATATCAGGTTTAAGGAAAATGAAGAACATACATAAGTAACACTAAAGGGAAAAAAAAAAAAAAAAAAACCACTGCCTCAATTGAAAAGTAAGATAGCCCACCACTTACACCATCTAAGTAGTTGATTGTTGCAATATTAGGATAGAGAAACATATTCACAGAGGAAGAGTGAGCTGTAATATAATTTTTGATGGCTAAAGAGGTACTGAAGTCGACAGAAGAGTGGCAAGGGTATTTTCATATTTTATTGCTTATTGTTCCTTGTTTCATGAGTCCATTTTCTCAACTCTCTCTAGCAAAAACTACTTGCATGGCCCACACAACAGGTTACCTCTATTTACAATTAAGTGATAATATGACTGCTTCCTTAAGTTCAATATATGCATGTTTATTATTTTCTTTGCAGTTATGATGCTTATCAGCAGCTAAGCACTAAAATCGCTGAACACTCGAAGTTCGACCTAGGATCAAACCCCAGTGAATGAGCAGGCTGCATTGTTGGATTTCATGTTTTTCCCCATGTGTAAAGTGAATACAAACTTAAAAAGTCCTCCACAGAAGCATCCCTCCCCATATGGCAGATTGCCTTGATCAATCAACCTCACCTTAATACAAATAATTACAGTAATTACAAGTTAATACAAATAAAATGTGGAAATTGTAGCATAACTTCCTCAGTTGTCAGTAAAGCAAAACTTAACATTATTTTGGAAAATAAACTATGTTAACTTATGCCTACTCATAGCTTTCGAGACAATGCAGGTCCTTTAAGAAACAGTTTTTGATATTTGTTGCCAATTTATTGCTAATCTTGGCAGCATTAAAAAAATGTGGGCCATAAAGATGAGGAAGCATCTCCAACCTGTGGAGCATACTATCACAAACATGTCAATACAAGACTTTATAAAATAAAAGTCTGAAAACTAATATCATATACACATACAATCTTAAACAACAACTAATGAGAATATGAGATTAAACACTTGAAAAATGAAAAGTATACAACTTATGGCTGTTTGATAGTCAATTCTGATAAAATGTAAAAGGGTTAGCATACATTGTGGAGCAAAAATAGCTGTCAGAATAAAACTCACAAAAGCAGCAGTGGCTGAAAAATTCAGTGGCAGAAAAGTAAATGAGAGAAAAAATAAATCAATCAATGCTAATTCATGAATATATCAAATTTCATTTCACCATTTTTAAAAGCTGCTCTAAAGTAATTTTAAAATCCTCACTACTCTATGAAATCCTCACTACTTTTAAAATCCTCACTACACTAATGAATACTGCATATCAGGAAATAATTCTTTTATAAGGGAGAGGGATTTTTTATATTATTCCATAGGTTCACTATAAAAAGTAATAAAACAGTCTTTGTAACTAAGCAAAATTCAATTAAATTATTTTATGCACTAATTGCACTTGTATATTATTGCAACCACCTCAGCAGAAATTGCCAAATTACCAGAATGTGTCAAACTCAGACAACCATGTGCATAAATGTTCTTCAGGCAACCATACTTACAACAATCTTTCAGATAAATAACATTGGCATTTTCATATGTATTCCTTTTGTTGTATTCCCAGTTTCAATAATTTCATGCACAAAAAGTGACATTTTTTGCCATAAACTCAATTTTAAAAATTCATCTGTGAAATGTACATCTATAAAAGAAACTGTAGTAAAAACACTAAAGGGAACAATGGTGAGATGCGTCTGGTAGACAGCCTGCTAACGATGCCGAAGTTCTGCGCAATGCCGGATTTGTGCAGTTCTCCAATTTTTTTTTTTTTTTTTTTAAAGCAAAAACAGAAAGGTGTGTACACAGTAAGAATACAGCATAAAATTACGGATTGATTTCGTGAAGTTTTTTTATTATATTACCCTTACTTAATAATTAAAATTTGTATTTAAAATAGCTATCCCCCCTCCTTTGATATGCAGATAATGTTTACTGTTGTTCATAAATATCAACAGTTTGGGAATCTTTAAAAAATAAGTCCCGATAAATAACTTTCATCTTTTCATCTGCAAAAACAATCACAAAACTGCAACAAAAGTGGTTGCATTAATATGTAAATACTGTATTAACTATACATCAATGATAAATATTCAATTTGACATTTATATATTAATTCAGCATATTTTGAAGACTTTGTTCACAGGGCAATTACTGAAGTATGGACTTCTTAACCGTTTGAAGACTTAATGTTTAAATGAAACTTCTGAGCAACAACAGTTCATAAGATAAAAAAATACATCATGCTACCATTTTAAGTCATTATTTTCTTAAAGCTCCTTAAAAAATATCCGAAAAAAAAAAATTCCTCTTCATGCTGAGGTAGAAGAAACAAAAAGTTTTATATTATGCATATTTATATTTATATATATGTTTTATATTATGCATATTTTTTTATATTATGCATATATTCATATTATTAATTTCAGCATATTAATAATACGCTGAAATTTTAAAATATCATTTTTTTTCAATAAGATAAACCATTTAAAGATTTAAAAAATTTCGCAGGCATTCAAAAAGCATAAAACAGCTGATCAGAAAATTTGACTACATTTAATATTTATCGATTCCATAAATCATGAAATTTAGAATAATAATAATAAAAAGCTGATTTAGAGAGACTTTTTATGATGTTTTTCATGAAAACTAAGCAACTTTTAAGTTCACTAGAAGTTTAAAAAGTTCACAAAAATTTTAAACATTCAAATTAAATTCCATGAAAAAAATGGGAGAAAAGTTCATAAAATAATGTGAAAATGCATGCATTTAATGAACACTGTAGAGATCAGCAACATTAACATAAATGTTCACATATATAATGGCAATTATCAATATTCATAACAAAGGACTGTTTTCAATTTTAACTAAAGCTAGTAATTTCAATGAAATCAATAACAAATTACAATTTATAATTGTTGTACCAATTTGTTAAGACACTTATGATTTTGTATAGCTATTGTTATACATTAAGTTTTAATACTGTATTACGTAGTAAACCATGATGAATCCTGGTATCAATCGATCCCGTTTATGCAGTTATGCATGTTGACATACGCATGAAGAGTCTAATGAAATGTAAATTGTTTTAATAAATTACAAGCTAATACATAAGGTTTAACAATAAAAGGAATATAGATTTCAAAACAAATTCATTATTATAACATTACGACGAAGCCTAGTTTTAAATGGTCCACATTCCAATACTATACATCAAATTAAATAGTTCCTGAACTAAACAAACAACAGGAAAAAAAGTATAAACATTATTGTACATTTATGATATAACTTAACTGATCAAAATACATAGATAATACAAAACATCTTTAACCACTAGAAATTTAAAAAAATCTGGCAACAGACATGCCTGATTAATGTTAAGCTTTCTCACTTGGTAAAAATTGATACTGATCTGCTAATAACAAAAATATATGAAAAAGGCTGTTGTTCAAGTTTATAAAGAAAGATTTTAATTCAATATTATTTTTCCTTATTTAAGTACTGAGAAAAGTTAAGGACCGGCCTAGATAAATTGTAAAAATTCTGCTGCATAAGTTGCACAGCTCTAGTGCCAGTCCTGAGAAGTTTCTCTCTCACAATCTTAAAAATTATATCTCAACAATTTTCCAATAATCAACTCTACATAGTTATTTTACAAAAAGGATGCTGTCTTAAAAGTTCATTATAAACATCAGTTATAAATCATGAAAATCTGCATTCTCCAGCAGATTAATATTTTTTAAAGGCACTGGGTCATACATAATTGGAAATTGCAAAAGGTGCTTTAGCTAACTCTGACTTATAAGGGCAAGAAATTTCCAATGTAACACGCAAACAAATCCTTTTTTATCATCTGGTTGCTTACACTTCTTTTATAATGAAATAGTAGACAAAATTATATATATATATATATATATATATAATGATTAGCTATCTATTAATATAATACATATACTTTTAGATCTTTACAAATAATTACTTAAATACAGTTACGGAACAATAACACGTATTTAATAGATACTGTTCTATACATCTAATCCTTTTCATAAGATTTCATAAGTATAAAATTTCTGCGTACAGTCATATGTAACATATGATCTATGGTCATATTCCTTCATATGATTTAATAATCATATTTCCTTCTAATCTATGTTCATATTTCTGATAAACTGTACATATAACTGTACAATAATTTACTGTTTTGATAAATGAGAATGTCTTATACTGATATAAAAAAATTCATTCATGAAAACAGTATAAAATTTATTTTTTAAGAATTATACCTGCACACTGAATTGATAAAATTATACATGCAATTTGCTTATGCAAAATTCTACTTGTGAGAATTTTTTCACTGAAGTAATTTCAGAAAAAAAAAAAATCATATTGTGAAATACTAATAATGATATAAGAGATACGAGTTTTAATGCAATTTTTTCAATATTAATAGATAACTAAACATTTAATTATATTTTAAAAATCCTTAAATACTTAACCTAAATCAAATTATTTCATGATAAAAAATATTCATCACCAACATAAGCTCTTTTTTATCAAACAAAAATATATACTGCTCAGAATAAGGTACAACATTATGGCAAAGTGCTTCCTAGTTTAAATAACAGTTATATAAGTTTGAATTTCTTATCACAAAAAAAAAAAAAAAAAAAAAAAAAAAAAAAAAACACAATCATTAACAAGATAATGATTAAATATTTAGACTAACATTTATTTAAAAATCTAAAACTTTTAATGATGTACTTATTTCCGACAAACAACAATAACTAACTCTTAATTCAGCACTAAATATAGCACATGAAGAAATTTTCTTACATATATAGCACTTCTGAAAGCTTAATTTTAAGTCGCATAATATTAGAAGTATATCTTCAGTATTTAAATTATCATCAGTAATTTTAATCTTTTAGTAATTATTTCAATTATTTTCAGCAGCTGATACAGAAAGGACTAGTTCAATCAAAGAAAAAAATTGCTCACCTCACAAATACATTTATGACTATATTTTCTACTAATTTATAAAACTGCATACACTTGCAACCATGCAGTCAAATACTGCATAATAAAGCACTGTTCATATAATTTTTTATGTTGTGTTCTGCTTAAAAATTTTTGAAAACTACTGATAACAGTTAAAGTTTTTTCACTTTGTTAATTTATTATTGACATTTTTAATCTACTTAATATTCACTTAAAAATAATTTACAATAAATTAAACACAATCTTGGAATTTTAAAATTTTAGCTGCATATCGCACAGTAGCTGCTCTGTTTCAGCGAAACAGCTATTAATTTACGGGAAAAAAAAAAAAAACTTCTGCAAAATTCATATTGTAAATGTACATCAAACAAAAATAATGTAAAAAAAAATGCACATATTATTTCAAAGAAATATATGCTTAAAACAATAATTTGTCCAACATTACATACTTATCAAATTTAATAGAAGAATCTTGACTATTAAAAATTAGAATATGCTTACTTCAAGGTAACAAAAACTTATATTTAATTCAAAGCAAAAGAAACCTGTGTAGCATAAGTCTGGTATTAGTTGGAGAGATACCTAACACAGAATAAAAACCAGCTCCACTTTTTTTATATGAAACTGATTTAACACAGAATATATTCCGAAGCAACTTCAACTCGGAAATATTAAACTAATTAATCTTATGTATTTTAGCCGATTTGACTATAACTATATGCTTATATGAATTAACTTGCAAACTATTAATTTCCACAATCAGAAGAAAACATTTGCTTCCAAAAGAATTTTCATTTCCTTAATAATGACACATAAAGATGCACTTTATCATTCTACAGAATCACAAACTATATCATGCTGCAATTTTACAATGACTATATATAACAATATATCACTCCATACCAACACAAAATAAAAATTTGTGAAAAGCCATTCAGCTTTTTTTTCTCTCAAGTTATTTAAAGAACGCATACCTATTTCCAATTATGATAAATAATTCCTCTTCCATACAACAATGAAAATTTCACTTGATGCTATTATCCAAAACAAGTAATCACTGAACATATCAAGATATACAAGTGATTCATAATATATTTCCAGAGAGTATTATAAAATATACAGGAAATATGATTTGGGAAAATATAAAAATATTGCATGTTTCCCTTTTCAAATAGCTCAACAAATACTTGCAAAATTTTTGCATCTTTCATGAAATGCAGTTAGACACAATCTTCCATTGACATTAGTAAAGGATTGACATACTCAAAACCTTCAAATTCAGACTGGTCTATCTTTTCTATTTCCTTCATATCATCAGGAGTCAGTACAACAGGCTCACTGGTAAACTGAGGATCAAAATGATCAAGATCCCTATCTGTTTCCAGTTTGGGTTTATATGGTGGAGGTACCTGCTTACTCTCAAGTAACTGCCAGTCAATACTTTTAAAAAAAGGATGAGATGTTATATCCGAAAATCCAGACTGACATCCAAGGCGTTCAACAGGATTCTTGTTAAGAAAGCCTTTTAAAACCGACTGTGCTTTCACAGAAATAGAACGTGGAATACGTATTGTTTTATCAAGAATAACCTGAAACAGAAAATCTTCCGTATTTTGATCTGGATTTTCAGCAGCACCTACAATATCAAATGGAGAACGACCAGCAAGCATCTCATATAACAAAACACCTAGAGCCCAAAAATCTACACCAAAAGCATAATCTTCTCCACGAAGTATTTCAGGGGCTATATAATTGGGTGTTCCACAAAAAGTACTGGTTGTATCACCAGGGCGGATGCCTTCTTTACACATACCATAGTCTGTCAATTTAATATGCCCTTCGTGGTCAAGCAGAACATTATCCAATTTTAAATCCCGATATATAATGCCTCGCTCATGAAGGAAGTTCAATGCCAAGGATATTTCAGCTGCATAAAATCTTGCATGCTCTTCGTGTAATTTACGTTGTCGTTGCATCAAAAACATCAAATCTCCCCCACGTACAAATTCAATAACAAAGAACAGTCTACTTGGTGTTTGAAAACACGAATGCAAGCCAACAAGAAAAGGATAATTTGATGCAGTTTCATATACATGTTTTTCAGTTTGTACCCAGTCAATATCCTCTTCATCACGAACCAGCTCCTTCTTAATGACTTTCATAGCATAAATCCGTTTTGTAGTTTTAAGTTCAACCATTAATACTTTAGCATATGATCCTCTGCCAATAACTCTCAACAACTCAAAATCATCCAGAGTGTATTGGCGAGAATCTGTAGGTTCTTTCAAATCTTTTGAAACCTGATCAACATCTTGGACAGATACTTGTTCACATACACTCTCAGCTAGTTTTTCTCTATATTTCTTTAATGCTTGCCTCTTACTTGCTGCAGGTGTACCCGAGCCTTTAGATAACTGAACTTTTTCAGAAATCTCACCATTAATTTTTCCTGAATTATCCAATATTACATTAGCATTGGAAGGAACTGAAATACCGTCTGGAAAATTTTCAGGCATAGATTCTCCAATTGCCAAGCAACTTACTGTTATAAGTTTATGACACTTCTTATGTATCATTAATTTGCAGTTTACACACTTGAATCCCTGCCTTCCTAACCCCCAAATTCTATCCGCACAAAAAGCACAAAATGCTCTTCTATTGAACCTTTTGGCTTGGAAAATATGACCATTAACTCTGTACAATTTGCGCCACCGTCTAGCTCCTCTACGATAAATGCTACGATCTTCGCCAACACAAGGCATTCCGGCAATAGGAGGTACACTAGGAAATATATGAACAGTTAATTCTATATCTTTATTGAGCTCAGAAAGCCTGATAGCTTCATCCAGTTCAGCCTGACAAGAAATTGTGCACGGATCACCTTCTTCATCAAGCCATTTAATTGTAAATTCTTGCTCATTAGTAAACTTGCATATTTGTCTCATTTCTTTACAGAAATCAGAAAAGGTGACAGTTGGCTCAATGTAGGTAATCATAATTTCACCGTTATAAACTGTTCTAATTCTTATTTCGTTGAAATAATCAGACATTTTCGGCTAATCTTCAAATACTCAGAGCAAAATTTAAAAAAAGAATCAATTTTTCCAGAAATAACTTACTGGGATGCTAATTTATTCAGGTTTTACAATAAACTTATTTTGTAAGAAACATAAAAACCAAACCACCAAACTTCGGATACACTTATAAGACACGAACTGATGATAGTTTGAGTAATGTACACAGCAGTTTCCAATGAATAATAAATTTGGCCATCAGAGTACGGCACCATACACAGAATCTTTGCTTGCAAGTCCTAACAGGGATAAGAAAAAGTCGAACCAAGATAACCGACAGAACTCAATAAGCAGTAGGTTTTCGGCAAATATACTTTTCAGTTGCACGTCCGCACCACGCCCGCTCTGTGTTGCCAACTGATCTGAAGACATTTGTGTGATATTCACCTGTCACGCTTGAGCATTGTTTAACATTATTATTGTCTCTTTATAAGCAAACTACCCTTATTTCATTTAAATAGTGATAATATAAACTTGGAGGATAGTTCCTTCTGGAACTTTATCTGATACCTGAAACGACAGTGCGGTAGCTCTCGACCAGCCAAAACTCGCCTAGTACTTGCTAATTCCAATGAGGCGAAGGAAAACGAGTAATTCCAGCCAAATGATGTTCTTTTGAATAAGTATTCGAATCTTCAAATAGCAGAAACAATGCAAAATTGGATTGACTCACTCTCCCCTAATAACATCGTTAAATTGGCCATTCCCAGGAAAGTTCAGGATATTAACAAGCACAGCAGCTTTAAAAAAAAAAAAAAAAAAAAAAAAAAAAAAAAAAAAAAACTCGTGGAAATTATTCTCCTACAAATAATCCGCTCAAAAACCTCTCTTTATGTAATTATCAAGCCCACTAGTATTTACAATGCATGCCTTTCAAATTGGTCCTTCCCTCTACCATGAAGGCATGCTTATGTTTTTCTGATACAAGAAGTTGACAAACCTCCACACGACCGCTCCGGTTACCGGCCGATTTGTCTTCATAAGTGGGGTCTTGGAATGGCTTATCTTCAGTAGGCTGAAACCTACTTTTAAGCTAATTTCAGATGAACAGCAGTGATCCCGGAGAGGCCATTCCGAAGAGAGAGTGATGAAGACCACCATTCATGAACTCCTCCGGATTTCTGAGTTCATTGGTACTGCCATAAACAACAAGTGTAGCTATCATTATACTTAAAGTTGGTAAAGTTTTTGATAGCGTCTGGCATAAAGGGACTACGTACAAGTTCATTCAGTTGGATCTTCCTCTTGAAATTATCCTCACCATTCCTTGATAGCAAGACTTTCTCGGAGATTATACATCCAATCCTTATATGATATATGCCTGAGGTCCATTCTTGAACCATTCCTATACTTGATATATGTGAATTACTTCCTGAAATTCACAGAAGACAACAGCGGCATATTACCCTGCTATGCAGACGACAATGCTGTCATTACCCGTTTCAGATGACCTAACCATGGCCTGAAAGGTTCCAGGATAAGATTTCGGAGATAGAATGACAGTGTAGAAAATGAAAGCAAGAATGAACTCAGAAAACTTTTAGGTCTTCGTAATTAGAAAATCTACGATTAGGGACACTGAAAATTGTAACTAGTGAGGAAGTGATTTCTTTTAGAGAACATCGAATCATAAACTCACCCAAGTGTTTAGGAGTCACGTTAAACTATGATTTCACTTGGTCTACCCAGCTTATGCAAAACAAGGCTTCTGTCTACTTTGTCTGTCTGTCTGTCTACACGATAATTCAAAAGCTTTTTCCACTACATTTCAACAGCTCAGGCTTAAATCTTACTTACAAGAGAATTTACACGGCAATCGTCGTGCCGATTTTCTTCTACGCCTCACTAGTTTGGGATAGCACTAGGGAAAATGGCCCATAAAATTGCAAGTGAATCAAAAAAAGTTTTTAAAGATCGTAATTATAAAATCATCTAGACGTCTACATTCATTCAAATGTGTCTCCTCTTCTATGAAAATTAGAATTGATTATTTAATTGTGCTGAAATTTTTCAATGTCTTACAATTCCATTTCAAAGGGGAAATTTAGGCAGCATCCTCGAAGTCCCAATTCATAAGGGTAATAACAACTTAGGAACGTCTTAAAATTTCTCTCAATTCCGTCTTCTCTTGTTCCGGGTAATATCGTCATGTAACACCATAGTTTCAAGTTCCACATGGAACTCTATTAGGTTTACTGAAAAGTGTTACAACCATAGAACAGATATCCATCAACAAAAATTGAGCATAGCTACTTCAGTATAGAAGTATCTGTTAGACAAAAACGGGACACTGGACTGTAACAAAAGGGTTTAATCATGGCTTAACTAAAGGAGACTGAAAACGTTTCATGACATTGTAAGGATCTTAAGTTTTACTAACGTTTATTTTATTTTAACTCTTTACTATCACTTCTTATTTTCTACTTCCGGCCAGAATTATAAGCGTTAAGGTTTTTATGCAAAGTTTGTCTGGCGAACGCCAAGTATTTAAGTTGTGGCCTTTTGCCAAGCGAGAGAGAGGAAGCAGTTGAGTCGAAGCAGGCCGCTTACCTTAGAAGTTTTACGCAGTTGCTGGTTTGCCTTCCAGGCCAGAGGTTTTAATCCTCTTGATAATTTAAACGTATTGTAGTGTTCACAGTTCTCTGTACTACATACGGCTTCCTGTTAATATAAGGCCAATCTTCCACGTTTATTATTCTAAAGTTAAATTAGAGTTTAGTTTATTTTTATATTTTTACGTTTAGACCCCAAGTAGCGGGTCAGTGTATTCCGAAGTACGGAAGTTATTGTAAATAGAGAAAAATAAAGGGTTTTGTATACCCTTCATGTGTATCCTGTCTACTTACCACAATTAGTGAACATAGCTTTAGTAAGCTCTCTGTTCCGAGTCAGGTCCTTGTATGTTCCCGAAGAAGGTAAGAAGGAACATTGAACCTGATAGTGGCGCCCAACGAAGAATAACCATGGCCGAGTTTCAAGAAGAACCTGTGCTGCCTGCAGAAACGGCTCAGAATCCAGAAATGCCAGCTGCCGCCCTGGAAGGATTTGGTTACATCGTCCAGACCATGCGCGCTTCGATGAAACCAGAAGCAACATTTAATGGAAACTCACCGGTAACCAGTTTTTTGGAAAAATTGGATGACCACTTCATGCTCTACCCCGTGCACGAGTTTCAAAAAGTTACCTTAGCTACCAGCGCTTTGAGGGGCCAAGCGCTTAACTGGTTCAAATGTATAGGCAGAAGTCTCTTGGGTCAAGCAGGAAGTCCCACCTATACTTACGAGAATTTCAAGACTGCCCTACTAAAAGCCTTCCCTGTTGTAAGGGATCGTGCGAAATTAGAAACGGAACTTTTTCAGTATATATCAACAAAGAATCGAAAAACCTCTCAAGCTTTATTTTAAGAAAAATTCACGTCTTCAAAGCTCTTGTATGGAAACCGTCCGGATCCTGAAATAATTCAAGTGATTTTGCCGAGGTTACTGCCCCAAGTGCAAGACTTTATTGAATTAAGAAATCCGACTACACTGGAAAAGTTATTTGAGCTAGCAATCCAGTTTGAAAGTAGAAGAACGGCGGACATTCGAAAGAAGACGCCAATATCAACAGCGAAACCAATTTGGTGCGCCAAGACTACAGCAAACTCAAGCACACGGCTACGGAAGCAAAGCGAATCAGTGGGCAAGGAAACCCGAGCATTCAAAAACAGCCGGCGAACGTCGACAGTTCAATAGCAATCCAGGAAAAAAGTCTCAAGGCCAGTGGAAAAAGAAGGAAAGCACGGAAATGAAAAATAATTTAAACTAAAACGGATTTCTGCTGACGGAGGGTGCGGAAATCCGAAGGCCACGAAAACCCCTCTTCCTTCAAGTTAAATACAGTAATGGTGAAAAATTTGACTCTTCCGAAGATTGAAGTGTTGGTGAATAATATCCCAGCCACCGCACTCCTGGATACAGGCGCGCAGTGTTCCTGTGTGGCAGAAGAGATTTTTTTAGGAAGTATTTTCGCAAATACCGCATATATAATTCGGATAATACGACAGTGTTAGCGGCGCAAGGAGAAAAATGTAAGTGTATAGGTAAAGTACCTTTGTATATCCGTATCAAGGACGAACAAGTAAAGGTGATGTTTTTTATAGTAAAGAATCTGCAAGCACATAATTCTTAGGAATAGATTTTCTTTCAGAGGCACAAGCAACGCTGGATTTTAATGAAGCGTCCCTTAAGCTGACAATGAAACCAGTTCGTACAGAAAAGGCTGAACCGCCGATGTTAAATCTTGACCACCTGCCTAATGACGAGCAAGGAAGAATCCGACAAGTGGTAAGTGAATTTGCTTCGTTATTTAGTGATATTCCAGGATTTACTCAGGTTACTAACCATAGTATTGACACCGGAGATTCAATGCCAGTTCGCCACAAAAAATACCGGTATGATAAGAATAAGGAAAAAATTATAGAATGGCATATCACCGATATGCTACGTAAAAAGATCATAACGCCCATCTCAAGTAGTTATGCTAGCCCGGTGGTTTTATGTAAGAAAAATAATGACTATCCTTTGACACATCCAAAAAGGTGGAGATTCGCAATTGACTACCGTAAATTAAACTCCATAACTAAATATCCGGTATATCCGTTACCTATTATTGAAGAAATTCTAAGGAACATAACATCAACCAAATATATGACGACTTTAGACTTAACGACTGGTTATTTTCAAATAGGGGTTAGGCCTGAGGACGTGCCTAAGACTGCTTTTATAACCAAGTCTGGCACTTATGCATTTTTGCGTATGCCGTTTGGCCTTTCAGGGGCCCCGGCAACATTTCAGCGATGCATGGACATTGTGTTAAGGACCTGTTCTTGGAAAGTCCACATTTATCTATTTAGACGATATCATTATTACTAGTGATAATCTCGACCAACATGTACAGGATTTAAGACAGGTGTTTTCTTTATTAAATGAGGCCGGTCTAAAAGTTAATGTCGAAAAGTGCAAATTTGCAGCCCCTGAATTAAAATATTTAGGTTACAAAATATCTCAAAAGGAATCGAGACAGACGAATCAAAAATAATCGCTGTACAAAAGTATCCGACTCCAAACACGGCAAAGAAGCTCTCTCTTCTTTTCTAGGACTTTGTTCATATTATAGGTCCTTTATAAAAGATTTTGCAGCTATTCGCTGAACCATTGTTAAAATTAAAAAGGAAAAAGGCAAGATTCTCGTGGACGGCCGAAGCCAATAGTGCTTTCGAAAAATTAAAACAAGCATTAACGCAAGCCCCTGTGTTGAAATTTCCTGAAAAGGATGAGAATTTAGAAATTTCAGCGGATGCTTCGGATTATGCGGTAGGAGC